AGTCCTGCTTGGGTACGGATGGCGGTGCGCCCAACGGGGACAGATCCAGAAGCCTTTAATAACCGTTGTAAGAAAGATTAATCTGACACGGGCTTTAAGTATCCCGATTGTGCCTTATTTACCTGTTGGCTTGTTTTTCTGCTTTTTTATCTTTGGATGTTGCTAATTGAGGGATGGATTTTTTTTTTTTTTTTTGAGTTCGTAAAGCAGAAGAACATTTCTAGATACAGAAAGAAAGAAATCCAGTGCCCCATTAGCATTTTTTCCCTCTTATGAGAACAATGCAGGCTCACTGTAAGCTTGCCCAAACATGGGCTGCCTTTTATTATATGTTGGTACGGTGCCTAGTGCAATAGGGTCCTCTTTTGACTGGGTTCACACGCTAAGCGCAAGCAAAAACTCACTGGCTCACCACCATCATCCTGTATTTGTAAGAAATACCACCTGCCGAGATGCTGTGTTTTCCCAAAGGGAGAAAGGTGGAATGCTTTGAACAAACGCAGTTCTTCTGTCTGTTTGAAGTAGCAGATGCTCATCTCCGGTTGACTGGAGTCACTTGCCGTGGGTCTTGAAAGTTGCATTGTTCAAAGTCTCTGGTACTTTTTTACCATTGGTGGCTGTAAATTAAAAAAAAAAAAGCCTGTGTGACATTCCGTTGGTATGAAAACAACTGTCTGTCTACATCAAAGGTGACACAGCAACTTACCTTACACTTGTTGTAAAAAGGTTACTGTATAGCTTTGGTCCTACACACCTGTGTGTGTATCATTAGCCTGAGGAGATACTACATGTAACCTGTCTGCTTTATGCATTTACAGAATTAGGTCTTCGTTGGTGGATTTTCTCTTCTGAGGCATTTTTTTATTGTCACTATTTATATGATACCACGTTTGATATTGCAAACTCGAGATTGTTCACGTTGAGTTTACTGCAGTTTTAATCCAAAGGTGCAGTAACAGAAAGCTGCAAATAAGCAAGATAGCTGGGAGAGGAGGGGTTGGGTTTGTTGTTCAGCACCCCGATTTGACCTTTTTTTTTGTCTTTTTTTTTTTTTTTTTCAAAAAATGTGAATCTCTTTTGAAGGAACTGCAAGGGGGATGGGAAGTAGGGTTTAACTTTTTTTCCCAATAGCCTTTTCAGTTGCTGGTTTTTATTTCAGTGCTGGTTGCAGTACTTGTGAAGATTGCCCACCTGCAGGAAACATGAGGTCGCAGTACGTCACAGCGCCCACAGTCACTCTCCTCCTGTTCCTGCTGTGGGTCCAGTCATCAACAGGCTGCAATAAGGCGCTCTGTGCTAGCGATGTCAGTAAATGCCTGATACAGGTATGAGTTGTGTTTCCTTTATTTGCTTTTAAGCATTTAAGAAACAGTTCTGAAGCTGTGTCTTGAAAAGATTCAGTGATACAAGTAACCAGGGTTTTCTGTTAAATAGTGGGTTTTTTTTAAAAAGAAGTTGATTATGGTCTCCTGCATATGTAAATGCAGATTAACGACTGTTTTATAGATAAGTGCATATAGGGATGTTTCTTGTTTTAATGGAAACAAGTTGAGTATTAGGATTGCTAAGTTATAGTTAAAACCACTACCAGTTATGCTGTTAGTTTCCAGTATCTTTATTAGTGATATTATGAACAAGCAGCAATTTAAAACAGACATTATATTAGAAGGGTTTCTGTGGGTAACAGTTGGGTTTTTTTTAGACACCTGCAATACCAGCAGTTCAAATGTGCTTACAGTGTTCCCATATCTGTCTGAGATGTTCCCCGTATCTGTTCCCCTCCACTTGCAATCTGTCCACTTTCTTAAATCTCCCTGCCCGTGCAGAGGGTCAGTAATTGATGCCTGCCACTGCCTATAACATCAGGTTTGTACAGTCAATGAAAAGGTTCCTGAAAACTAACATGAGCAGAGACCTAACTTGTCTTAGAGCCCTGAGGTGCATTTGGAAAAACTCTTTAATCAGGAGGGACCTATGGCTACTAATGGTAGTGAGCAAGCTCTGAAAGCATGCAGATCTACCTTAAAAATAAAAAAAAAAGAAGAAACAACCAAACAAAAACTTATGTGTTGAACTGGTAGGCAATGGATGTTAAAGTGAAATCCAGCCGCCGCTTTTGACTCGCTGTGTGTCTGTCTGCACAGTGAAAGAAACGTACTGAGAGCAGGTTCCTCTTCTTACAGCAGGAGTTAAGAGGCATGGACTGCAGCAGAACAAAAGCACCTTTTGTAGCGGAATTGCAAGCAGTTCTAGTATCTACCAAGTCTTTATTTACTGCTTCTTGACTCCATATTGAAAAAAGGAGCCATGACGTGGTCAGTTGCAGCTTCCTTAAAAGAAACCATTTCTTACTGCCTCTTTGTAGATTGGAAAGGCAAAAGCAGAGACCACAAATATATGCCAGTAATGTGCTAGTGTGCTTACTGTAAATGTATGATCACAGTCTGAAAACTGATGCAGAAGTGGCATGAAGCATTTCCGTGTTTACTTCATTTCATTGACTTCCTTATAAAATTTGTCTGGTTTACAAATAAAAATACTTGCCAAATTCACAAATCATCCTGTGGAATGAAGACTGGCTGTAGGCTGAACTGTCTTCTCTCTGGCTTCTGCACTGCCATTGCTTTAAAAAAAAAAAAAATGCTGCTTCTCCTATCCCCACCATGGTCTTGTGGAGTTGTTGAATATGGGAGCAAGAAAGAGGCTTTTGACTTTTACCATTTCAAAGACAAGGTTCAAGTTTCTGCTGGCACGTTGGTCATGGTGCACTGTGACAAACAAGTTCCTTCTGTTGCATTTTTTCAAATCCCCTCTAGGCTTGAAACCTTTAAAAAGTAAGATGCTAGTTGTGGCCTTGGAAGTACAAGGCAGTTAAACAGCAAAGGCAGTGGTACAGATTTGTTGAATCGGAGGAAAGGTCTTGGTCCAGATGAAGGGAAAACAGGAAAGATTTATTGTCTCCTTTTCCTGTGCTGCTGATGGAGTCCACCATCCATGAAATGACAGACATCTTCTTCCCAAGTAACCACTTAACTTTTATCGAGTCAAGCGTGAGACACCCAGCATTTAAACTTTATTTTTATGAGCTAGTCTGAATACAGTACAGCTGGGGAGAAGTGGAGCTAATGCTACTGGAATCCTTCCTCGGCTGGGAGTAAGACAACTGAGGTTTAGCACTGCATGAATGTGGCTCTCATGACTGTGCGTTGCTTGGATTATGTGAGCATCTCTGGAGCGACACAGCCCTGCGCGTGCAGACAGACCCCAGCGCTGCTTTACTTGTTGTGGGTGTGTTCTCTCTTGCTTTGTACAGGTGATGTGAAACGCCTTTTTAAAGCGTTTCCCTAAAATTCAAATCATATGCAATTCTTCAAGACCCTGAAGTAACTTAGACCATGTGAGTTGTGTACAATTACGGGGGAATGCCGCTGTTCATTTTCACCGTCTGGCTGCTCTCTGCCTGCGAACAGGCCTGACATACCAGTCAGTATTCATTCTTTATAGAAGAACAGATCAGGTCAGACTAGTCTGATTGTGAATACGAAGACTCCTAAAGCTTTGGCTTAAAGCAATTGTCATCTTTCTTCTTGGCTTTTTTTTTTTTTTTTAATATATCTTCAGTGCTGTTGTGGCAGAAGCGCTGCACTGGTATGTGAAGTGTGTGTTATTTCTTGGGTGGGTATACAAGTAGAGTATATCTGTGTATTGTTTTTCTCCTCTCTGAGCTCTTCTGGAGAAATCTGAACTTAAAAATAAAATACTGTGTTGAGTGAGTTTGCTTGACTATCGCATGACATTTTTCCCTAGCCTATTTTTATAACTGTTCTAGTGTGGCAAAATCCATGGCTTGAAACCAAGATAATGTCACTCGGAGACAACTCGGGGAGCAAACAGAATGTGAATGTTTGTCATCTGCATCTGCGTGCAGAAAGTGAGGCTGCCTGTCTTAGAGGCATAACGAGACAAAAGACCTGCTCTCTCAAAAAGCATATGGCTAACATAAATATTTTTGCCAGCAGGGCTAGAAGTCAGCACAGTCATTACTGCCACTCCTTAGGAGCTGCTCTATGTAAGGGTGGTCCCTACGTAAATATTTATTTTGTTAGATCCAGAACAGAGCATGAGATCAACAACTCGCATGCATTCAGCTTTCCTTTTACATCTTGAGTCTCTAGCTTTATTGGTGCTCTCGTAGTCTACTTCTTGTTTTTCTGTAAGCGAAGACCTGTAAGAAAATAGCTTGAGGCATCTCTCTGCATAAGCTTAGCCTTCACAAGAAAAACTTTGTGGCTTCCTGTAGTTGTTGAAGTTGTGGATAAGAGTTGGGAGTGTAGGCGGAGTGGGACCACAAAATTAGTTCCCTTGAAGGCTTTGGATGTAGTTTCTTCCCGTGTCTCTGGGACTGGGGCACTGAAGTCAATAACTGACTGTTACCTTGCTTTTCAGGTAGGCCACCAAGCCTTGGTTGTGCATGGCATGCATGTTGCAGTATTTATTCTAGCACATCTGCTGTTGACTTGGACGCACGGGTTGTTTTGATGTTTCCATGTGTGGAGGAGATGAGAAGGCCAGTTACGCTGGCTGGGCGGAGCGGAGGCCTATGTTGTGTCCTTGCAACATGGAGGAAATCCTTGAAGGCAGAAACCTCTAGGATGGGACGTTCCCACAATTGTTCGTAGCAAACGGGTTTGAGGCGAGTCCCAGGCTGGCTCTTGCGGTGCAGAGCTACCTGCAGTAGTCAGGCTTGGGTGGTACAGCCGTGTTGTGCTGGAAGCCGAGCGATGCGGTCTCATCTGCAACAGCTCTTCAAACTACTGCTGTTATGTAGGAAATAAATGGTGCTACAGATCAGGCATGGATTTCAGATCTTTCTGAAGAGGGTTTGTTTTCCGGAGAATAGAGAGTTTTCTCGCCTGAACACTACTTGTCTGCGTTCACCTTGGCTGGTGCGGTATCGTTCCGATTGAAATCTGTCTTCATCTTTGTCTTCACCTCCTCTTAATTTTGTGTACAAACTTGTCAGCTTGAAAGGATTTCCAAGACTTTTTAGCTCTGTGGTATGAAATAAACACCACTCCTTAACTTCAGGGCTTAGGCATCTAAAAATTACTTTTAGTGTGTATGTTGTAGCTGTAGTACGTAACGCATTTGGGTTAACAAAACAGTTCTGGCTGGTTTGCTTCCAGGAGATTTTCTGTTATTAAACTGTTCTAGGAAAAAACATTAGCTCTTTTTCTTTCACTCCCCCTTCCAGTTTGCAGAGATGTTGCCAATGCCTTCAGGTCCTGTTTCTCACTGCACTGAGAAAATAGTCTCTGTCGTTTCAAGGAAGCTTTGAAAAAATGCAGATGTTAAATACCTTGTAAAAAATCTTTATTTGCTCTCTGGAGCAGAAGTATCTTTATTGTACATGCCTGCTTCCTATTTAATGCTGTATTTTTAGACTGAGAGGCTTATTTCTTGCCTAGCAAAATACGTTCCCCGATGCACCTTCAGTAGTTGAGCTTGGGAAATTGCCAAGTTGACTTATGAGTAATACTTTCTTCCACTGACGCCTCGCCACCCCCAGCTATCAACAAGGACCGTTTCTCATTCTGCCTCACTTCACCCACGTCTCATGTAAGCATTCTTTTAAAAAGATGTATCCTGCACAAGTATCCAATGTGGATGAGTCAGGCAGAAGGACTCAAGAGTGGTTAAGGAAACCACGTATGTGCAAACACATATATGGAAAAACATACAGTTATTGCCCTGAAGAGACAGTCGAACTGTGAGAAGGAGGGAGCTGGAGAACTGTGCAGAAGACTAATCAGGTTGCTCTTTCCTCCCTCTCCAAGATAAAAAAAGGTAAAGCATAAAAATGGAAAACAAAATTAAAAAATTACACTGTTCATAAGCCCTTCCTATAAAAAGAAAGTTGTTAAAATATTGGTAGGTGTAGTGATGCTACCCCAAGCTAGTGCTTACACGTATCGAAGATAAGCAGATTTTTTTTTATTACATTGCAAATGCATAATTTAAGGTTACATTTAATTCAGTGAGAATACTCTTCTCTTAGATTCACACAGTGCAATCTATAAAACTGAAACAACTTAAATTTAGTGAATTTTCTGGCTTTACTTCATACTTTACATTTAATAGTTTATGGAGAATCGCTTCCTCCCACATGTTGGCTTGTTGGTGTTGCAATGTCTTTAATAAGCATGAAGTTGTTTGCCCAGTTTTACTGTTAAAGAACAAATATATAGGATATTTTTAATGCCAATATGTATTAATGCTGTTCTCTGGCCAAAGTAACAGTATGTTACTCATGGTTGTTTTTAAAGTTGTTTTATTCAAGCCTTTTATTCTCAAGGCTGACACAATCTGTTTATCAAACGGTAAGATAAATATTTTAGAAATGCGTCATTCATTCACATAAGTCATCTTTCTAAGTTTGTGGTGTCTCCTCTTGTGGAAAAAATTGTATATTTTATTAGTGAGCCTGTTTTTCATCTTTCACTTGGAAACAGCATAGTAATAGGTGACATTAATAAACTGAGGATGAAAAAGTAAAAAATCTTGGTAGTTTTCCACTCTAAATAAAAAATCAGGACTTACTAAGACTGCGTATTGCAGAAATGCATGTGGAGCAGAAGTTCACACTCGATCACTCAGCAGGGCAAACAGTTCACATTAAACTCTGCAGGCAACAGCGTTTCTCAGTGTTACATAGAAAACACAATATTTTCTGAATTTGGTTTCTTTGCTGGCTTCAAGAAGATTTCTGATCAGGTGTGAAGTGAATGGAAAAATAACGCATCAGTGAATTTGTACTGCATTAATACAGTGTAGTACGTTTGCAGCAGGTTTGGGAGTTTGTTCAGTTTTAGTCCAGAACTGGGAGCCCTGAAGCTTCGCTTGCTTCAAGATCAAAGAGCGGGGATGGGCATCATCTCCCTGGTCCAGTGCATAGCAGAGATTTGCCGATGGCTCTTCCAGTAAAGCTGGGGGTGGGAAGGATCCTGTGGTCAGTGCTTCCAGTAATGAGATTTTATTTTCTCACCAGTTGTGCGTAATGTCATAGTTGGACAGATGTCATCAAAACCAAATTCTCAGGACAACCAAATGCGACTTCTTGACTTTGCACTAGGCCATGATTCAAGCCCATATGTTATTGTCATGTAGCCACAGTCCTTCAGCCAAACTGTAATCGCTAGTGCGGATTTGAGCTAGAGGGAAGGAGACCGCCTGATTTTCAGATTTCCTTCACCCACGTGGGCAGTTTCCATGCTGCGAGGTCCACAAGTGTATGTCTTCAGCAGGGTTGCTAAACCTGTGCCTTCAGGTTTCAGTAATTGGAAGTGAAGGGTTTGTCTTCTTGCTTCCATGCCTTTTCCACTTTTTTAGCTTAATAACAATTAAAGAAAAATGCATATGCCTACCATTTCACTTCCCGGAGGCTCCAGAAGTGTTGGAAGTATCCCAAGGTGTCGGTTTGGGAGGGGAGGAGGGAGAGGGTTGTTTTCATAATAGCAAAAAATGAATCAGCTGGACCTGGGGAGGGGAAATAATCTGGTCACTAATATTGCAAATGGAGAGCAATGTATAACACTCATTCAGAGATGCACAAAATCCTGTGGTCTGATGACTTAACTAAATAAGTTCCTTTTAGAATGCACAAATAGATGTGATGGTAGACGTTGTGTATCTTCTTGACTATGCATACGGCTTAAAGTAACTTCCTTTTTTAGCTAAATTATAACATACGCGCACTATTTATAGAAAAAGAAACATCCATCTTTGAATTTCCTGTTGTGATGGGAAAAGTTTCAAAGAACTTGTAGGCATACACAGAAGTGCACACACCTTTCCCATGAATAGGATTCTTTTCTTTTTTGAATGCTGACTTCAGATTTGTCTTTCGAATGTCACCTTTAAAAAAAAAAAAAAAACCAACACAACCGAACTTGCAAAAGATCCTTTTGTAAACTAAGATCAGTTTTTTGGCTGGAACTATTTTACCGTTTACTCACTGTATTAGTGTACTAAGCTTTTTTAATGCCTTAATTTGAGTTGCAGCTTGAGGAAGAATTGCTCTGCCGTGTTTGCATTTTACATCTGGGATTGCTGCGGTGTAACGAGTTTCTGTTGTTTTCAGGAGCTGTGTCAGTGCCGCCCTGGGGAAGGGAACTGTTCCTGCTGTAAGGAGTGCATGCTCTGCCTGGGCACACTTTGGGATGAGTGCTGTGACTGTGTTGGTAAGTTTGCATTTCTTTGGGATTTTCTTTTTTCTGTTTTTAAATTGCTTCCTCCTGCCACATGCTGAGCTCACAGTCTTATAATAGAAGTAAAACATCGGGACAGAATATGTGCTTTAAACATCTTGCAGCTCGTTCTGTGGGTACTGAATAAATTACTGTGGGGAACAAAATATTTGAAGGCTGTATCTGCTCGATGGGATGGGGGGTGGCAGTAGTCCAGATTTTGCTTGGTTAATGTCATCATAACTGACTACTAATTTTGTCTCTAAAACATAAACTCTTTTTTGAATTGTCATCTTGAAGAAACTAAACAGCACCTGCTTCATGGGGTTGGATGCTGTATGGAGGTTTCTTCTCACTGTACACTGTTTTGACAGATACTGCACAGGGTCAATTTTAGGTTTGAGTTGCCTTGTGAATCCTTGGGACTAGTAGTAAATATTCATGGCCCAATGTTTTCATTGTTCTTTTATTTGCAAAAACAGCCCTTCAGAGTGTAAGAAAGAGGCAAAAAAGTTCTTACTGTAGGATTGGATGATAGCCTTAACAAGAACAGCATTACTACTAACAGGTAGTGTTCAGAGTGCCCAGATGTTTGCAAGTGAATGCTGCCTCTGCTTAAGGAGGATGTATTCGAGTTCTGTCTCTTGTTTTAAATTTATAGAAAGCTTCATCCTCCCGTGGTTGTGGGAAGTGTCCCTCTGCTGCCATTCAAAGTCCTTCTGGCTTCCATGAAAAGGGTGTTGTAGGTGTAGGGTGTCTCGAGTGTTGTAGCTGCTCTCAGCTTCTCTGGCTGGCTGGGTCTTCTCTGAATTCATGAAGATGATTAGTGTCAAAATGCTCCTTTTCAGCGCAGTCCATTGCTTCTCCTGTTCCATCATGATGTGAATATGCTTTCTGACATTCTGCTTTTTGCTCGGTTCCGGCTAGCTTACCTTTGCTCCACTGTACGCAGTGGAGTGGCCTGGTCCTGCGCATGTGTGATTCTTCCCAATGGCATGAAGTATTTTCAGCCCCTGCCCCTGTGGAGGGTGTACATATAGAAAGAGGCCCTACAGTTCGTTTTTTCTATTTGATCTTGCGCTCCTTGAAAAGTGAAAAAAAAAAACCAAACCACCATATGTATCTCCTTTTTCCCCCATCTCCTTTGTCCTTCCAATGTCTTCCTGGTTTTTGTAACATAATACTAAAGTGCGCTGTTGCCATACTCAATCATAGCATGAGGAATAAAGTAGTCCGTTATTTCCCTAGTTCAGAACCATGATCTGCTGCAGAAAGCAAGGCATAGTGTGCCAATCTCCTCTAGGTAGTGGAAGAACCTACCTCCTGAGATTGTGAAGAAAAAAAGGGAAGTGCGCACATAGGGTGGTTTTTCTTTGTTTTTTCCTGAATCTGCAAATTACTCACTGTTCTGCTGCTCTTTCCCATGGTGTTATCCAGCAGAGAAGTTAACGAGGTTTCAGGTTCAGTTTCCCAGTACTGAGTAAACTAAAATATCTCCTGATAGTTTTGTGAGCGCCTCAGCCCTTGTTGGTTCCATGGTATGGTCCTGTTCTTCTTCTCTTCAGTGTAGGGTCATCCTTGCTGTGGCCTTATTCAAATAAGGAAACAGGAGTTCGTGCCATACCCTGCTTCCTGGAGACAGTTATTTGCTGATACTTGAGCTGATATTTAAGTCTCTTTCTAAGGTGATCATGTGTAATGTAAAAGCAGATGGGTTGTCGTGTCTTTTGTGTCATGACTGCTCTGAGGTCAGGAATTACCTCCTACCCTCCAGCACTAACTTTGCTGATGCTCAGTTGATGCCGTGTGTTTTCTGTGGACGACATCTCCTTTCTCTGACAGGGAAAACTATGCTGGAGGAGGGAGAACAGCAACAGGTTCCTCTTTTCTTTATTTTTCTAAGCTTTGTGAGTTAAGCTCTTCTAGTCCCTCATGTAAAGGCTTGTCTGTGTCCATTGTTTCAACAGCCGATTTCTGCATCTTCTCATCCATTCCAAAGCAGTAATGTAGACATGTTTTTTCCTTACCAGTTGCTCCTAAGTTAAGCTTTTTTATTTTTGTTTTAACCAAAGCTACTATTTTATAATTATCATATATAAATATAATTAGTATAATTAAAATACTTTAAAAAATAGTAAGAGGGAAGTATCTTTGGAATGAGCAGTTACCCATTAAACTATGAGTGATGGTTTCTTGGTACCATCTTAAGATAATATTTTCATACTGCATTGATATTTACACAAACTTGTACACATTCTGCAATTACTTAACAAACAATCTTGATGTTATTTTTTCCTGTGTGTCCCTCTTACCAGTGAAATTTATTTTCCGAATCCAACCTGTCAGAGGGGCCTCTAGAAGGCTCACTGGTTTCATTTCACAACATTAATACAATGACATCAATGCAAGTATACATCTTGTGATGTATCTGTACAAAATTCTTACCTGGTTTAATGTCTTCCTAATTAATTTTCGTGTGGGCATCCTTTACTACAATTGTATGGTGAATATTCCAAGTGCTTACTAAAAGGTGATAATGCAGGGATAGAAATTTTTTAATTAAAGCAGTGAGTCCAAGAACATCTGTGAAGAACAAACCTAGTTGAGAGGACTAGGAAAATTTTTGTTTGTGGTAGGAAGTTTGTGTAAGTGGAATCTTTTAGTGTGACCTGATGTTGTTTGGAGGAGAGGTTTATTTTTTTTGCTACCCAATACTTGGCTGACCTTTTTATAGGAGCAGGTTATCTTGTGTTGTTCCTATTATTAAATGCTGGTAATGCTAACCACTTGCTTAAGATTTGCCAGATCTCATGCTAATCACCATGGATGAACTTCACTCTGTTTTGTTCATTATGAAAATCCATCTATGTAGATTGAAAAGATGGTGATTTTGTATAAGGCTGTAGTTAAACATGATTTCTGTAAGCTGGAGTCCTGATGTATCTGCAGGGCAGGAGATGCTTCTCTGGTTCCGCAAGGCAGGTAGGCTTTGAACATTTATGGCCCGTATCGCTTTGGTACTTCAAGGATTGGTGTGCTTTGCAGCTGTAGCTGTCTAAAACTGTGTCTGTGAAGCTACCCAAAACGATATCCAGATGTACATGAGGAAAATGGATTTGTCTGTCTCTTGCCTGGTGACTTCTAATAGTGTTTTATGGCTTCTGGTTTTAAATACCTACGCAGATACAACTTTTCCTTTTTTAATCTTGGTTACTTCAATGTTCGGATTAAATCAAGATACCCTTCAGTTTCATTGCTAGTAATAAATGTTGGTGTTTAAATGGTTAATGAAAAAAAGTTATCTGCATTGCACATCACAAAAACATTTAGTAGGAAGTGGCAAAGAGAAAAAATATTACAAGGTTTAAAAAAAAAATGATACCACAAATGACATTGAAGAATAAGGAAGAGCTAACCTGGAAATAAGCATTTTGCCTGTAGTGACCCCTCCAACTAAGTAGCAAACCGAGGTTCACCTCAGCTGTCTCTAAGCAGGTAAAGTAAACTCTTTAAAGGTAAAGCAGACTCTTGCTCCCTCCTGATAGTGATCTTTGCATCTCTGGCAGACACCTAAAAAGATCTAGTGCACTGCTGCAGCAGATGAGATCAAATACTTGAATTGTGATCAAAAGTTTCATGTACCTCAGGACTTGTCAAGATACTGTCTTCGTTCAGTCGTAAGCTTTTGTTCCAGATTTATGCTAATATCGATTATACTGTGCTTTGTCTCTTTTCTCAGGGGAGACAAAACTTTCCTTGAACTCTTCATATTCTGAACTGTCATGCTAGCATAAAAAGGGAAGCGAAGTGCTGTTTAGATGAGGTTTTTCTTTTCACTTGGCTCTCACAAGTCATAGGTGTGTTTTGTGGAACTCCGCAGAGATCTGAAACGTGCCGTTATGGAAAGCTCGTCCTGCTGTATTTGGTGACACTTCTGCTATTGAGCTAAGAGTGGGATATATATGAAAGGGCTCTGTTCTGCAAAAAAAAAAGGAATTTTGATTTTCTAAATATTCCTGCCGGTTTCAAGGAGAAGAGTTTAGGGAGTTTGGTGTAACTTACTGTTCCATTCCTCTGCAGGTATGTGCAATCCTCGCAATTACAGTGACACACCTCCAACATCCAAGAGCACTGTTGAGGAGTTGCATGAACCGATTCCTTCACTTTTCCGGGCCCTGACAGAAGGGGATACTCAGCTGAACTGGAATATCGTTTCCTTCCCTGTGGCAGAAGAACTGTCGCACCATGAGAACCTCGTTTCCTTTTTAGAAACAGTGAACCAACCACAGCATCAGAACGTATCTGTCCCAAGCAACAATGTCCACACACCTTACTCTAGTGACAAAGGTAATGAGCGTAGCGTCTAAATTCCTAGCGCTTCCTCTCGTCTCTTCTAGAAGCCTTCTCAGTGCATATTCTGTGCTTGTCTGTGCTCACTTCTTCTTTTCCCGTAAAAAAGTGTGAAAAGTTCAGTTTCATTTTGAGCATGACATAACAAAAGGAGTGAGGCAAAAGTATTGAGGACCATGGAAAATGGTGTTAAAATGTCTGTTGATCTTAGGAGATGCTGAACCACATGAGTTTGTTATCTCTATTATTCCTCCTGTGGCATGAGGCAGTTTGTTCACGTAATTTCATGTGCACTGGCACGGTATGTTCTTTGACTTTGAAGCAGTTACCTGTAGCTTAGGAGACAGGACAGATCAGTAACTGAATCCACCTCATGTGTCAGTGCAGATTTAGGCAACTGGAACACGTGGCTTCAGAAGTTTGAGAAAGCCACATGCCATAAACCATTGTATCTGCAGTAGATGTGTATTTCTTTCATCTGAGCTGGCATAATTTAAACTCTTTAGAAGGACGGTTTGTAGGAGATCCAGGATTAATAGTAAACCTGAGCAAGTTTAGCAAGATAGCTCTTTATGTAGAGGAGGGATATGTGACAGACAGCCTTAAAAATAAGCACTTTAGGGGTGGGGGTTCAACGTATGGACTCGTTCCTCTTTTTTTTTTTACCAAGTTTTTTATATTCTCACCCTCAGTTTAGAGGACAGACTTCAGAATATTGTTTGCTGGGAGGGGGGAAGATGAGAAGTTTGAGGTAGTGATAACAGTGGCATAAGAAAAATACTCTCTGCTTCCTGGTTTCCATACTAAACCTGAAATACTTTTCCCTGCAAATTATTACATCAGACTTAAAAGAATCTCAGAAGCAGTTCATAGTGAAATTGCTGCTTAACAAGGAAAAAAAAGCATCTGATTTGTTTATTATTGTAATTAATGTTTTGCTTCCTTCCCAACACACGCTTTAAATATTCGTAACCCCATATGTTGCTATTGTGATGGCTCTTCTATCTTATCAATGAAAGATACCCTAATTGATGGACACACTGCTTTTCCATACCATTGTGAACCTTTGACCTAGTTACGTTTCTGAGTAGGACTGCTGTTGGTTAAATGGGACGATAATGGCAACTTTTCTAATTTCCTTTGGTTAAGGCACATTAGAAAAATAAATTAATTCCAGAACTGGGAAACCAGATGGTCAAAAAGCATCTCATTCATATGTCTTTGACGTTATTAAAACGCTTGCTCGCCATTATGAGAGTGATGCAGGAAGGCATGTTAAATGGCAAGCCACAAAAAGCCCTGTGTGCAAACACTACAGTATTTAAAGATGTAAATTATATGTGGGGGGAAAAAAAATTATGCTTAGAACAATCTTGAATATATCCCACTGTACTTAGGTACTGCAGCCCAGATGGCTGTTCCCTGACAGTCCTTTACTACCATACCAACAGGATGGGCTAATGATAGTTTTGGATTAAACTTGGAATTTGAATTGCATCTCAAGGGTGTGGAGGAGTTTTGAGTTTAACAACACAGACAAATACATAACACTGCAATTTCTTCTTAGTCAAAAGTCTCCTTCATTTGATTTACTAAGAACATATTAGAGATTAGGTTGAGAGAGCTTTCACTGGAATGATGACGGTCCAAAACCAACAGTTATATTTGGAAATAGTTACCAAATGCCACTGGTTTTCAGGCTTCAGTAGACACTTAGAACAGAAATAAATGTCAGAGCTGTTCTTGCAATCATTGACTATGCTTCCTCCATCTTAGTGATGAGTGAAGAGCTGGAAAAGGTAGAAAATGGCTTTCAGCATCCTATACTTTAAGTATCTAAATATGTAAGCCAGTTGAGGGGTCTCTCCTTTCTTGGTCACAAGGTGGATAACTTTCTAGTGCTCTGCTTTTTCAGAAGTCATGTTGAAGTTTGCTTATAAAAGCATGGATGATTTGAGCATTGAGAACAGCAGAAGGTGAAAAGAAAAGTTGGCTGCTGGCCTTGGTCGGTTCGTGTTTATTTTGGTGGAAGCAAGAACAACTGGGAAATTGTACCTCTTGTGTTGGATGTTGTGTAAGCCATGGGGTGGCATTGTTTTTAATACTTTTTTGACGAGTTCATTGGGGAAGCAGTAACCAAAAGGTGGAGGGGTAGTAGGTCAAGGGCTAAAGAGCCTTGTGAGCATGGGTGCAGAGGGGGAGCCCAGGAAGTTGCTGGAGTCTGATGGCTTCTGCCTGTGCAAAGTTCAGTCACACAATTGAGTCACAGTGGTTTAACGAGGTAGCATGTGTTAGAAGAACCACTGAAAAAAGGAATGGATCTGTGCGTGTGTGTGTGCGCGTGCTCAATTGCAGTCAATACAAGCATAGCCTGCAGTGGAAGAAACGGAAGACCATCTCTTTACCCTTTCCTTCTCCCTAAACGTGCTGCTATGCTTAAGGGCAGATCTTGCAAATGGAGATGTCCTTAAGGTGACTTGCTAAGCTGTTGTCTTCAACACCGTGACATTCAGCGGTTTGAAAGAATATTCATGTGAGCAGGAACATGGATACTTTCTATGTTCTTTATGGCGCTGTGCTTTCTCCATTTTGTGGTTCTTCTGTGGCTCCTTGCATGCTTCAGTCCAACATGGTGTGCTGGCAGCAGCCTATTGCGTTGCCTGTAAAGGGAGAGGGGCTAATGAGAGGTGGATTTTGGTAAGGGGACAGTGGTCTTTGTGCTGTCTTCTGGAATACGTACCAAAGTTTGGAAAAGCTCTGCCTACAAATACCCCTTGACATGGCTGCGTAACACAGTTCCGATTTTAGTTTCAACGTGTGTTCACGCAGGGATCACCGTTAAGCTGGTCCAGGGTGCCAGGCTTGCTCGATGCAGTTCTGGGTGAGTGCCAGGAAAAGCAGCACCAGCCACGGGAACCCACGAGCTTTGTGCCTGAGCAGCGTGAAGCCACCAGCCCCGGGAGGGCGGCTGTAGATCCGGGAGGAGGTGGGGTGTGGTGGGATATAAAGCATTCCTTTCTCGCCCCAGCCTACTGCGAGCCCAGCCGCCAGACCTTGAACTTCCCCGTTATTATCTTAATGAGTGTCTTCCCTTTCCTCCTGTGAATTGGCTTTTAACGTTTTCAGCTGCCAAAGTATGTGCGCACTGCTGGAGCTGCTGTAGTTCTTTGTATCAGTAGTTTCTGGCATTTGAGCTGCTACTTCAGAGAAGACTGTGATTATTATTATTAATCTAGAGCTACATTTATACTTCATTCTTTTTGCTTTACTTTTAGCTGATACCCTCAGAGCTCTGAAGTGCGAGTTCAGATGTTTAAATAAGCTTAATTGTTTCAGATGATTGACAGGATGTTGGCGAGAGAGAGGGGGGAACTAGATAATCTTTTGGCAACTGATGAAACAAAATCTGTGTTGTAGTTAAGGGTTTCTGACTTACGCTGCTTGGTGACACCGGGGATGGCGTCTGCTCTGTTCTTCCGCTCCCCTCCAGTGCCAGCCAGGTAGAGGAGAGCTAGAAATCCAGTCAAGTGGCATCTGCCTCTGTAAGTACTCTAGGAAGATTTTTTTTTTTTTTTAATGTTTCTTTTTGCAAGTTCTGATTGGCATAAAATGGTATGGCTGCTGGATAGACAGTTACCTTTTTTAAGTACTTTTAGAGCTACCGATAAACAGACCAGCAGATAACTGAACTTACATAGCACCTTTAACTTCAAATGCGGCATACAAGGAATTGTCATTAACTGGGAAATTGTTTTCATCTTGTAGATAGAACAATTCAGTTCTTGTAAGTTAAGGAAAAATGCCTATCTTTTTCACATTGCTAAATTCCTCTGTACTGCATCAATATAGATCTCATTGCAGCACAGACAGTGTCCTAGCAAAGCCTGATAGAAACGTGAGTCCGTTTCTTCTGGTCATTTTGAATTTAGACTTGATTGTTGTTTCTCCTACACAACATCCGTTAAATATCAACGGGGGGGGAGGGCCGGGCAGAGAGATGGGGGAGGGAGCTGAGAAACTCGTGTTCTGGAAAAAAAAAATGCTGCTGCATCCTTCTCCCTCCCTGCACCCCTAGTCTGTAGTGAAAATTGGCAAAATGCAAATGAAAGAGCTGTTACTGCCCTACGTAACATCCTTTTTATCTACACTGAGGGAGCCAAGTGATGACTATGTAATTAAGTTTGTGAAACAATTTAAATACTCTTCCGGATCCCAACTGAGCCTGTAGGTATGTATTTTTTTTCCCTGTGTAACTCTGTTTCTGCAGCCTATAAAAAGAGATTTAATGCTTGAGGTGAGGAACTCTCCGCTTTCAGTAATTCAGCCTCTACACGGGCACACAGACATTGCTGGGGAGAAGACCAGCAGTGTCCTGTGACGAACAAAGTAGGAACACCCTGGCCAATCTGGCTTGTTCAGACCTGGCAAGTCTCTGAGTGAGCGAGACTTCAGAACTGATTTGGTAGCATATACAATAAGCATGTCTTCCAGCTGCTTACAACAGCTACTGGGAACCAGCCAGATCTACTGCTGGCTCTGGCTTGCCCTGTACAGTCTGTCCTCTCCCCTTCACAGCAGTTTTGGACTGGTCCTCTAGGACCTAATCCTCTTGGCTTGTGTGCAGGTGGAAATAAACTTTCTTCTCCACTCTCCTTAATATCCTTGGTTGCTGCTGCCACCTTAATAAGCTTGAGGTCTGGCTTTGGTTCCCATTTTAGTCCTGGGAGAGTGGTCAGGGAGACCAGTCTCTCCAGTCTCACAGGACCTGACTGCTGTCATCTGGTTTGGCCAGTATTACGGCCCTGGTCCTGCTTGTCCTCTGGCCTCCTTTCCCCCAAGAGGTGGCTTAAGTCTCTCGGTCAGTGTCATTGATCTTTACATCCTAGAAATCACAAGCTCTTCTTCCACAAGAGGTTTATTTCACGTTTCAGCAGACATTAGCTGATGAACTGGGCTTCTCCAGGACTTCTGAACTGGTACTAACACAGATGAGGCTGTCATGGATGAGGTTATTATGAAGGTTAATGCAGATGTCTCCTAACACAGAGGGGCTGGTCATTCCCTGGTGTAAAGACAGCCTGTAAGCGCTGGGACCAACTAGCCCACCTCAGAGTGTGCATAACTTTCCTGACAAGCTTTCCTGACCTACTGTAGGCTTTCCTTTGCATGTTGCAAGTCGGAGTGCAGTGATCAACATGATAGCAGCAAGCACTTCTGGCAACCCTTTGGAGAGGACTCTGGTTTCCTGAAAGAGTTGTTCCACTACTATCTAGAGCAAGCCATGAGTCATTTTGCCTTCTCAAGCTGATCCAAAGACTAGGGCAGTCAGGTGGAGATGGCATCTCAAAATCTGATTTTGCAGCAAGAAATCTTTCTGGATTAGCCAGGATTGCCTGTTTCGAGGCAGAAGTTTTGTGCCTCCAGCTGACACCTTCTAAGACTGACCCCGCCTATGGCATTTAAGGTCAAACTCGAGAAGAAAACTACTAAACTACTAAAAAGTTATCAGAGGAGTGAATTGGAATTAAGCAAGATGGTACAAAGAGTACCCTTAGAGAGGCTTCTGTAAGATGCCTGTGCTTGCACGCCAGCAGTGTACTGGATGACTAACGGGACACTCATCGGTGCTTAGCTTTCATGACAAATGCTGCCTGGAGACTCCTATCTACTTTCTCACACCCTACCTTTCCACTGAAAACCTCCTGTGACGAGAGAGTGGGACAGATACCTGGGATTGTCTGGGCCTCCTGGGAATGGATGAGTGTGCTCCTTCCTGGGACCCTGGCAGTCTGAGCTTTTTAAGCTCGTGATAAAATGTCGCCAAGTCCTTGTGCATTCTCTATAAGAAGATGGAGCTGCTGTATGGCCTCTGGGTGGACTCTTGCCTTTGAGACTGTGGTGGCTGCATGTCCCTACCACTTTTCAGCTTTGGCTGAGCACATTAGGTGTATACCTGGCTGGTCACTCTTTGCACGTTGTACCATAGCATATGCTTCTGTTTTGCTCTTTCCTCCTCCCCTCTGTGAATAGTGTCCTTACTGAAGCTGTAGATATGTTGGTTGTGTTTAGCCAGAGGTTTTGCTCTCTGGGAACTCTCTTCCTCCGGTTGCTGTGCCTCTGGGTTTATTATAAGAGGTCATAGAAATCAAAGTGCCGAGAATGGGACAGGACTTATACAGCCACAGTGTACGTCGTTGACAAAAGCATGGGCATCATGGAGATCATCTATTGTTGACACTGGGGAAACCAACTGCATAGATTTGATGACTTGTACGGTGATGGAGACCCTTGCTGGCCTCAACTCACCTTTGGACCTCAAGAGCTTGCTGTGAGATGTGCATATTACTGAGGCTGCTAATCTATGGGGCACCAATATTTTGAAAGGGAGGTTTTTGGTGCACTTCAGCTTCCCAAGACTTGCTCACAGATAAGAGATTGAATAAATGCTGTGGTTAACTACGCTGATCTGAGAGTCCTTCGCTTACTTACCCTTCTCCGTATCTCCATAATCGTACAAAAAAAACCCCACTGTCTTGATTTACCATTTACGTTTGGATTACATTTTTCTAATCCATGTTGGAATGTAGGTCAGTATGTTTCTCCTTGACATCTCCCACTCACAAATCTGTCTGATGTGTGCGAGTGAGACATTCATGTTTGCAGCCAGCTTTCAGTTACGCTTTTCCCCAAAGTGTGCCAAGTTACGCTGGGGGTAAATGTGATGCAATCAAGATCCTTTGGAGGATGAACAGTTACGGTGTAATCACCCAGTCAGCACAGAAGAAAGTTGGTAGAATCTGTCAGTTTGAAAAATTGGAAGTAGACTGGGGAGGGATATTTTTCTTTTATAGTTGTGGTGAACGCCTCGGCTTCAGTTTGAGGTTGCAACACCAAACTTCATGGCATTTCAAGTAATTGCATGGATGGTAGTCCATAAAGTCAACACTGAGGCAGAAGGGGTTTCTTAATCTTAGCAGTAAAGCTGGTGGTGTTGCTAAAAAAAGAAGAAAAACGTGTGCAGATTCAAGTTGAGGAAAACGGGATTCTCTAGCTCTGTGATTTAATGTGGCTGAAGAACACTGTGGAGTTTGGGGGGGGAAGGAAACATTTACATTTATTTAAGTGGGTTATGGTGTTTTTTAAATAACTTCTCTAAACCTGAAGTTTTTCATGATAGCGTATAGTACCTGCTGGTGCAACTGTGAAAGTGATATTTTGGTATTACCTTCAGAGGACATGTGCCTTCTTGTTATTTTGGCATAGTCCATCCTTATACTTTAGAAGGTATCCCTCATAACTGGGGGACAAAACCCCAAAACATTCTTGCCTGTGAGTATGTAAGTAAATTAATCCAGATGGAGAGCAGAAAACAGGTTGAGTTGTAGACACTGAAAACTTGAAGTTGATAGTTTGTACCTTGGCTCTCTGCCTCTTCGCTCTGCTTTCACTGTCACCTTTTTTTCGTTATGATGATTTGCAATCCTACTTCAAACGCTGCACATTTAATTATTTTTTTACTAACCTTTAAAAATATTTTAAGACCTTTTAAACCAAATTTTTTCCCCCCTCTTGGTTTAGAACACATGTGTACTGTGGTGTATTTTGATGACTGCATGTCAATACATCAGTGCAAGATCTCTTGCGAGTCCATGGGAGCTTCCAAATACCGATGGTTTCACAACGCCTGCTGTGAGTGTATTGGGCCAGAATGCATCGACTATGGCAGTAAAACTGTAAAATGTATGAACTGCATGTTTTGAAGCAGGAAAATTGTAATATAGCAATACTGAGGCCAAAGTAATCTCTCTCAGTTAAAGAGATGGGGATTGCAAATACTGCATTTTGGTGGAGTGCCTACTGGTTGCAATTAAGTGTACCTGGTTGAAAAAAAAAAAAAGATGTATAAAATCTGAAAACTTTTTGGTTCTTTTTTTTTTTTAAACTCATGTAAGCAAGTCTAACTAGTAGAAGTTTCAACACTATGTTTTAAGTTTATTTTTCTTTATTTCTACTCAAATGGTACAGCCATGCTCATCCTTACTGTTCTGATTGTTTTCCTTTGATTTGAAAGTATTGACTATACTGGTTTTCAGAATGTAGTACTGTATCTTGTAGTTTAGAGTAGGGAAACCTTAGGAATATGGTAATGAGATTTCTATCATCTAAGTTCAACAAATAATTAAATGGCTGCTAGGTTGGAGGGGGGTGGTCATTCTCTAGGGGCTGGGGTTTTTTTTTGTTTTAGCTTCTGGTTTTGTTTTTCAACTTTTATTACCTTCCAGTTTTTGCGCTTAGCCTTCTGTTGTGAAAATGGTATTTGGGGAAAAAGAAAAATTCACGCTTTCTCTTCAAGTTCAATGCATGGGCTGTCATGGATAAAATCCTAACTTCTAAGAAGGGCTGCCCAACAAAACACTAGGTATGGGACACTTTTCTTCCAAGTTTCACTTGCCCTGCTCTCGTACATTGGGGCCTATGTTGCATAATTTATATATTAGAAAAAAAAATACCTTTTCAGTCTTCTCTTAGATGCCAAAATACAGCTGTTAAGTGCAGTTGCATCTCCCTCCTTTTGCACTGTTGCTTACTCCCAGAACGTTCAGTAAAGGAAACATGAAAGGTTATTATGGATTTAATGACTAAATGAATAAAGAAGAATGAAATGACATGAACAAGCAAGTGGTACAGGGCTACCAGTTGAGCAGCTGGCAGCAGGCATGTTCCCATTTAGTAGTTTGGTGTGCATATTTATTCCAAAACATAATTATTTTTTCTCCGCCCCCCCCCAAACGTTGTTACTGAAGAAGGGAAGACGTGGCTGCAAAGGCAAAATTAGGATGTTCTGAGTTCAGAACACTGTCCGTTTTTCTAAGTAACGGTTTTGATATGTTAACAGTTACTATATGTTAAGCAGTTACTATGACCCAGTGAGGGCTCCACTGATAATGGTACTAAGTACAAGAATAAAGTGTATGAGTAGTTAATGATCAGCTTTTGGTATTTATAATGATGTGTGTTTTAACTCCTTGAAAAAAAATTTTAATGCATATATGCGTATGCACACACACAAAAAAAGAATTCGACTATTCATGTTTCTCTCACTAACCTCAATCTAGAGGGATTAAACTGTTTTCTAGTCACACCTATCTATCTGTACCGTGTACAAATTAAAGCAGTCATTTTAAATTTATTTTGTTGAAAAGTTTGCCTGAATGTTTTTTTCATTTTTTCTCATGATACAGTTCTTTCAATAAGATGAAATAATAATAAAAAACCCCTACTCTTGTGAAATAACATTACTTTCTTCAGTCTCTTTTTCAGTTATAAAGAAGTACTTGAAAGATGAATGTTTATTGTTTTGAATGTGGATAACGGAATACTTTCGTACTTTAAACTTGCAATTAAATGATAAAAAATCATAGATGTGAATAGAAAAACTTAGCTTATCATGAAGGAGTTTTCTTCCTATATTTGACAATTCACATTATCTTTTCTTCTGCTTGAGTTTCTTAAAAGTGAATGGAGAGAAAGAATATGTTAAAGTGGCTGTGACTGTTTTCAGCTGGAGGGTGATGCATCATCCTTCTTGACCAAGACAGGAGACCTACAGTAAGCATTGCTACAGGTCATTAGCATGCTTCGGATTCTTGCAATGTTAAATTATTGGAAACGTTATGGTAGTTCGGAATCTTCTTGGGGGTAAAAAACAGGGCTGATGTTTCTGGTCAGGCACCTGCTGCCCCATGGATTTGTGACAAAGTCTCCATTTACATCAGCAGAATTTCACTGCAAGGTCAAGTCAAGGGAACAGCAAGGCTGGGGAGCGGGAGAGAAGCGGGTACTGGACGAACAGCCGTCCAGGGAACACCGCAGGGAACAGCATGAACATGGGAACACAGTTGTCTGTGTAATGGCCTGAGAGGAGGTAGCAAGGATGCACGCTTTCTGCGGCTTGCCTTATTTTTTGTAATTCCTGATGCTGTCTAGAGTTTGCTGTAAGTGTTGTATGTATGCAAATGTCATACAGCCACATCCAGTGTATTTTATTACGATGAGTGTTTTAAGAGGTATTTTAATAAAAAGACTTTACTGGTTTGTGTGTTTTCTTTCTCAAGATTTTCTCAGGGCAAATGTTACCAGGAAGCATATTATAAAAGTTACTGATCTAGATGGATGGAATAATACAGAGAACTAAGCCTTCAGCTGTTTGTTGGGTTTTTTTCCAAACCCAAAATTGTAGTTTTGAGGTTTTTTTCTTTACATAAATGAATAAAATAGAATTTTTTTAATAGTCAAAATGTTATTTCTGAAAAATCTAACTGTTTTGGGAAATTGTTTATTTAGTCATACTCATTTTGCAAGAAAAATCATAATTTATTTTGGGGACCCTTATTTCACCTACGTCTGGGTAACAGCAAACCATCGCCTACACAAGTGCTTTAGAATACTTAAGAACACGTAAAAACTTTTCCAGCTAGAAGTCTTCTCCAGGTAAAGCATCAACCAGTTTTATCACTGTCCTTTGGGACAGAATTGTAAATCGCTGAACTTAAAGGGAAGCAACAAAGGGAAGTCATATACTAAGAAATTATACAAATCCGTACTCTGTTGGGGTTTTTGCTTAATTGCTTTGATTTTGGGTTTGGTTTTTTGTTTGTTTGTTTGTTTGTTTTTCCACACAGGCACTTGTTGCTCCTAAATTTCAGAAACATTGACATCGTGCAGAGAGTGTGAGTACAACTGCCGTAACATGACATTGTTTTCCTGTCATTTCTTAGGGTTCCTGGCTTGCTTTTAGTACATTTAATGGATTTCACATGCAGTACTTAGAATCAAGTGTTCTTATATTTATTTTTTATCTCTAATAACATAGCTATGGTCTCTCCAGTATCCATCCGAAGACTATGGCTACTTTGATACCTGGCTCCCAAGCCTCCCATCCTCCTGGCTGGCTGGTCTGGCTTGATGCTTGCTGACGATCACACACCGACACACAGACCCGCACAACACACACACACTCCAGTCTCCAGCCACAGGCATCCAAGACATGCAGGCCCCTGTGACTTGTGGTCCCCTCTCCAGTGGCTGGCACTTACACCTCCATGCACACAGCGCAGGGACCCCCCTCACACAGGAGAAGAGTTTAATGAGGAGACAGCACAGACCGTGGTGATGAGGTACCTACAGGGCATGCCCGGGCAGGTGTACTGACTGGCAACCTGTTTGCAGCTCACCAGCCCCTTTTATCTTCTTATCCCTCTTTCTCTCCATCTTTGTTCACCCCAAACAACCTTGATCCCTCCCTTGCCCTGCCTTTCATTCTTCTGCCACAAATCCTCTAATAGGTCTTCTGCCATCCCAAAATGCTCTTCCCCTACATCCCAGGAGTCTCATACTCCTGTAGGCAGTAACCCCCATAAGTTATAGTGATGGCTGTCATGGGACAGCCCCGGCAGGGGCTTGTTTCTCTGGGTACCCCATTGGGGTTCCCCCATCTGCCATTGTGCCACTGCGCTCTTTCATGCTCATGGAGAAGAGCATTGATCACATAATGTAACATTTTGCTGATAATAACGACTGCTGGGTTTTGCAAAACAAACTCCTGTACCAAGATTTGCCATGTGCTCTTGGTGTGACATCTTTCATCAAGCAGTACATCATTAAAATTTGTGCTACTCACATAGGAAAACATACTTAGATACAAAACATTGCAAGGAGCAAAGCAAATCCCTTTCAGACAAATCTAAGATGTAAGGCTGTCAAGACCCAAATTTTCTTATATCCTCTTCGTTGCTTAAGAATTTTTAAATTTTCACCTTACTGCAAAGATCTTGGAATGGTGTGACTCTGTAGTAGTGCTCATGGGAGTTGTATAGGCAGAGTTCAGTGTCATACTGCTCTTTTGGCTCTGTTCTTCTGCTGTGGGGTACTTCTTACAAATAATGTACTTTTTGCCTCAAAGGCATTAACTGATCTACTACTTCTAGGCTTTCCTTTGTGTATCCAGGCTCTCATTGTTTCACATGTATTTCCGTGTGTGGTCAACAAGTTTCTTTGATACACCTCTTTATGACTGCTGTATATTCCTTCATTGCTAATGAGAATTATGCTGTGTGTCTAAAGCTATCCCAGAATAGTACACCCCACGTAGACTCCTATCTCTCCAAGACAAACTCAACTCCAGAACTGGCTTTCTTGAAGTAGTAGTATAACTGAGAGGGAATGGGAAAGAATTATTCATTAACACAACTCTGCATTTTTCCTTTTTTTTTTTTTTCCTGACAAAATGCTTTCTAAAGCTCCCCACCATTATTATTTTGTTATAAGGATCAGGAATGTCAGCAAGACTGAATTTCAAAGGAGAGACCTGGCCATCTCAGAATCCTTTCTTGACTTTGTCCATAAAGCAGGAAGATTTTACACAGTGAATGTGGGGCATGGAGGGTATAAGGAAGTGCCTCCGTCTGTGTAAGTACACCTCAGACCACAATGAGTTTTGTAAGTCAGAAGTCATTCAAATGTGTTTCACAAGGCAGTAAATTGGTGTAGTCAGCACTGCACACAATCACTTGTTTGTCTTCAAAAAATGGGAGAAGATTCATTAGCTGATGGGCCCATTGTGCATGAACTTGTGTTGCAACGGCTTCTGATAATAGTTATTCTTCAGAGCTGGGAGCCTCTGGCGACTGTCACTTCAAGTGGAATCCTCACAGGCAATCATCTCAGATTACTATGGGATGTGACTAAAGTAACCTTCCTTTCTTCCTTTGCCCGTAACCTTTGTATAACAAAAAACACCATTAGCTGCGATCTTAAGTTAAATAAGCTAACAAACCTTTGCTGTTAAGCTGTTTCTTCTGGAGGGGAGGAAGTAAATTGGAAGTTGCAGGGTTATGTAATATGTTGTGGAGACAATATCTCTGTGCTCCAACACTAATCGGAGTGTTTACAACCCTCCCTTTTGTATTTTCTACTGAATAGCACAAATTCCTGTGGGGGACCTTTTACATTACCGCAGGAGGTTGCACAAAGAGCCCATTTGACAGGGACTAAGCAGCATTGAATCTCAAGTGAATAAATGAAGCAGGTGGCACGCTGCCACAGTATTAATGTGTCCAATAGCCCAGGGATTATGTTTGAGGCTGTGGGAATGAATCGGCCTGCTTCTTACTGAAACAAATTCCCTTGTTGATGAGGAATCCTGAAAAGGATTCAAATTACGCAGGTGCTTAACATAACAGAAACTTGCCTTATAAGAGACAGAGAATACAAAATTCCTTTTAACATCACTGTAAACAGGATGCACGCTGAGATGGAGATGTGTTTCTTGGCGCAGGTTCCCCCCAAGTCGCATCCAGAGCGATTCTCCGTTTTCTGGTATTCCAGAGAGTGGCAGAGATGAGTGGGTAACGATATAAGGGCCGAGTCATTATGCAAGATGAAGCTGAAGTCAATGGCTGCTCCTGTGT